GTCAAAAGATCACAAATCGTATCTAGTTGAAGACATTACCCTTAAAAATTGAAAAAAATTCCCTCGTTCCCCTAAAATGGGGGAAATATCCAAAATAATTACAAGTTTAAAAATCGCTAATTTTCGAAATTTTTTCACTTTTTTTTCTTAAAACATCCATAACTTTTTGAAAAATCAACAAATCAACATAATTTTTTTTTATACTAAAACCTTAGATATTTACCTTTCATTTGATATCATTTTTTTGAAAATCTATCACTTAACCTGCTCATTGGGGGGGATTTAAAATGGCAACTTTTTTACAAAAATTAATTTTTTCAACTTAATTTTTGAAAATGTTCCGGAAAGACTGCGTCCTTTAAACATATATCAAATTAAAGCTTATTTTATGTACTACAAAATGAAAAAAAAAAATTTGTCCCGACACTTTTTTTTCTACATTTAAACGGCTGCCGTAGTTAAAAAAACACTATTTTTGTGTTAAAATTTTCGATTTTCGATTTTAAATTTTCAACTTAAAAATGCTATAACTTTTTGAAAAATGTATATATCAGCACAAATTTTTTTTTTCTAAATACATTATAAGTACATCTTTCATTTGACATACTTTTTATTAAAATTGGACAATTTCCCCTTATATAGGGGGCGTTCAAAACTTAAAATATTGTAAAAAACATAGATCTTTTTCAACTGAACTTTTGAAAATGTTCCGGAAATACTGCGTCCTTTAAACATATATCAAATTAAAGCTTATTTCATGTACTATAAAATAAAAAAAAAAAATTTGTCCCGACGACCTATCTTCTATGCGCAAAGGGCTACCGTATTCAAAAATATGCTATTTTAACAAACATTTTTTTTTTTAATTAAACACTATCTACAGATTTGCATTGAAGCGTTTTTTATGATAGTGATTTTAATCACTGTCAGATAAAATCTATACTGGACCCTACTATGCAATGTCTCCACTATGCCGCGACCCCACTGTGCTACCGTTTTTNCGACCCCATTGTGCCACCACCCCACTGTGCTGTTGTTTTTAATTATACTACTACTTGCTTTTTATTTCAATTACAAATGCTTATTCAAATTTTAATAATTTCCATGGAATAGAAATCCTGTACTGTACTTAACATAATATGGACTAACATTTTGTTGAAGTTGAAATGGTGAATCGCCGTGTGTGGCACACAATAAGTTTAACACCTTTTTGTTAATGACCGTATGTGGCGTCGAGCCGTTTATTTAAATGACGTGTAACAGAATAATGACAACAAAACAAAGAAAGAAGTTCGTGACAGAACGATGTTTAATAAAAGAAAAACTAACACAAAATATATTAGCTTCCATATCGCGAGAAAAAAAGTTAGTTGTGCGTAGAACGGACGACGAAACTCTTAAATTAGTGTCTCGAGGTTGACTGACTAGATGTATTATTGCGGCGTATATTCGACGCTGGACATTTATTGGACTTTACACCACGACGATAACGCGTGTGTGGAACGTTCCGGTTTACAGTGGAGCAGTGGCTGAGAAGGAGCTGACACGACCACGGGGTGTCAAACGTGTGATAACGCCGTGGCCGTGTCACCGTAGTATACCATTGTAAAAAAATTTTTGAAAAATTTCAAAATTCTGTATAAACTGAATTAAAATAAGAATTTTTGGTATAACATTTTTGTTTAAAATTTATATATATAATGGCGGCTATCTTTAAATCTTAAAAAAAATTTTTAAAATTTTTTTTTTTTGTAATTGGGAAAAATAACATATTTTAAATATAAATATAAATTGTTATGTAGATCATAAGTTATATGAATTGTCAGTTAGATCTGTATATTATATAACAAAATGAAGTTTAACAGAAAAAGGCTCAAAACATTAATACGCAGTCCCGGATGGGGTTCATCTTAAGACGGTAATATCAGACCCGGAAAATGGCCGACGCCTCACAAAAGTTAACATATTAAAAAAAACTGTTACACGCGTAAAATTGGCTACAAGCACTCAGCAAATTATCACTACGGTGGTTTAATGAAAAGAAAGCGTTAATTTTTTTACATACTAGGACGAAACACACCGACGACGACAATGACGATTTAGGAGAGAGTATCGGCCTAACAATTTTTAGAATATACAAAAAAAGATAAAAGTAAGAAACAAAATTAAAATTATACAGGTATTGAAAGTAGTGGTCAGTGTATGTGTCATATAGGAAACGATTATTAAATTTATAAAGAATATTGTGTGTATAGTGTTCACCATGACAGTAACAGTACATGTTTCTGATTACATGGCCGGGTATAACGTACGCGCGCTCAATAGCAAAGCAATACATTAAATTTATCTATACCATAAGAAATAATCATAGATATAAAGGTTACATCTCTAACAGAATTAAATGGACAAATGTATTGAAGAACTTAATGAGAGTGATAATAAAAAGTACATTTCTTTTTTTAATTTTTATTTATCTTATATAGCTAACTAGGAGGGAAAAAATTCAAATTTCAATTAATCATTTCATATTCACACGGCCACGGCCTTGTTACCTGTGTGACACCCGCGCGGTCATGCCAGCTCCTTCTCAGCAACCGCTACATTATAAACCGGACTGTTACATACACGCGTCACCGCCGTGGTGTAAAGCCCAACAAATGCCTAGCGAAAATTCCCACCGCAATAATGCGTGAGTCAGTCATAACCGTTACACCTTCATGATTCTTTTTTAGCTTTGAAGCTGAGAGGGTATTAAATTTACGATTATATATTAAATTTTTTTGTGACTGAAAGCTCAATTTCAGCTCTCGCTGGACCGATTTTGATGAACAACACGTCAAAAGATAACAAATCGTATCTAGTTGAAGACATTACCCTCAAAAATTGAAAACAGTTTCCTTGTTCCCCGTAAACGGAGGAAATCCCGAAAAAAATTACAAATTTAAAAATCAGTAATTTTCGACATTTTTCAATTTTTTTT